CTCCACCGCCGTGCGCTGCGGCGGGCGCGGGGCTGCGGCCTGGTCGGCGCTCTCCAGCTCGCCATTGTTGTGTCTCGGCGGCCAGGGCGGGAGGACGGCGGGCCGGGCGGGGCCGGGATCTGATCGCGGTCGGGATCGAGCCGGAGGGCTCTCCTGCGCCTGGGGACCGCGGCGCCTCGTAGGCCGGGGCGGGGGACGCGGGACCCCGAGGACGCCCGGAACCGCAGGCCGAGCGCCGCCCCGGCTCGGGTGGGTTCGGCTGCGGGAAGCGGGGTGGTGTTTTCACGGCACCGGGAGCCGTAGCTAAAAATGTTTAATAATAAACAGGATGTCGCTGCTCGGGGCCTGCCAGATTGATGAAAATTTTTTTCCCTTCGCCTACCTTTTAAGAGAAATGCAGCCCTGTTGAGGTAGTGGGCCTCTCCAGAGAGGATCTGCCTGCACAAAAGTGGACGCTGCTTTCCTTTCTTCTTTGTAAATACCGTGGGGAGACGAAGCCCACTGCTAGGCAAGAATAGGTGTCGTTCCCCCCCCCCCCCCCAGCAATGGTGAGCTTGAAGGAAGTGGGAGAAGGGGGGCGCCGATGCTCTCCGGAGTGTGTCATTTGCTAAATGGCTGCCTGGGAGAAGCCTTCATAAAAGCCTGTCTTTTGCAGGATAGTTAAATTTCACCTACGGCTTTCTTCCCTGGAAAGGTTAGCGTGTATTTTCGGTGTGTTGTCTGCATTATACATATCCTTTGGGCTTTCAGTCCGTCCGTTTGAAGCCTTGGCGTCCTTTCTTGGCAGTACAACTGCCAGGCAGGGGCTCGTATTGTATCGTAATGTCTGCACCGTCGTGGTGCAGGCTGGGACCTGAGGGGTACAGGCTGTAGAGTGGAATACCTGCTGCCTCCTCCTCCAAACACAAGGACTCCTCAGCCTTCACTGGCAGAGAGGCATGACTTGGCATGCAGTCGGTGCTCCATAGTTACAATGTGCTGTCACCCTAGGATAGAAGGTTGGCCACTTGTGGTGTCATCCATGCTGGAGCATGCCACAGGTGCTGACTTGAAGTGGCGACATTGGAGAAGGGATTCAAAACATTGGGTATTGTAGGACCGCTGGGAGTTCCAGGCCAGCCTGGGCTACATCGTGAAAACCTAACAAAATACCCACATTATTAGGTCCTGGGTCAGTGTGGGCTTCTGGGGAACGAGCATGGGAAGGCATGTGTGGACCTCAAGAACCTACTGGCTCCCTAGTGCAGGGGGCGTTGTTCCAGAGGGTAGCTGGGGTCCAGTGGGCCGGGACTGTGCTGGACGGCTAGAACAGGCAGGAACCCTGCGAGTCCTGGCTTTGGAAGGTAACTGCCCTCCTTGGGGATGGGCAAGTAATTGGGAGCCTTCAGCTTGTTGAGGCAAGTGTGCCTTTGGAGCCCTGTTCAGGTACTCTTGAGTTACTTTACCCAAGTCTCTGAGCCCCAGCTCTTGCATCTATAAAATGGGAGTAATTACGACCGCTCGTGTATCTCGTGGGAGCCTCAGGTAAGATTCAACAGCAGCGCGTTTCCATCCGTGGGAAGGTGGTAGATATGTGTGTTCTTGCTGGTTCCTTAGTTTTGCTGGTCACTTTTAATTTCTTTTTTTCCTCCTGTTGTGGCTTATGGAATTGTGACTCCCCCCCTCCCCCCAAATGCTGTGACCAGCAAGTATTTTTTATATTCTCTTTATTACCCTCGTGCCTTAAAGCAGGGGGCTGACTTAGAAGACCCAGCCCAGCCAGATTCTGAGGCGGATGGGAGACCATGGGAGGGCCGAGGACAGTAAATGGGGGCAGGGCACACGCTGGAGGGGGATGACCACAATGACGGAAGACCAATATTGGTCTCACTCTTTAGTGATAACTGAGGCCTAGATTGCCTCTTGGACTAACCCTGAGTAACTTGTTGGTCCCCGCTTGGATAAACAGTGACTTGCATCCGGAGGGGGTGGGGGGATCGTCTCACCTCCTTTGGCTTCATCATCCAGCTGAGTGTTAAAGGAACTGCCAGGCCCTTTATTCTCCTGTTTGGCTCCTCCACCTCACCGCCCTTAGCCTAGCCTGCTGATGGCCGGCGGGTTAGGGAAGACAAGTCTACTGTCCCTGCCCCCAAGATTTTAATTCCCTGGGCCGATTGTGTGGCACCCTGGTGGGGCCTGGAATGGGTGAGGGGAAATCCCCGGGCACTTAGAGGCAAAAGCTTTGGAGAGTGGAGTTTCTGGAATGGCCGGTCAGAACTGGCTTCTGAGCCTTGGCTTTGCTGTGGGATTCTTGCTTGGCCTCTTAACTGTCTTCCATCCAGTTTGAAAACACACACACACACACACACACACACACACACACACACACGTCACTTTTTCTCTGAAAAATTATTTTATTGTACTTTTAAGTTTTGTTTTTTTTTTTTTCTTAACTTACAAAAACTCACGTTGCTATGGGTTGGTTACATGGCCCATTGTTCTACCCTTTAGGGTTGATCATTTCGGTGTTAGTTTCTATTTCAAACCAGAATAGGTTGGGAGGAGCAGTGCATGTATTTCAAAATTCTATAACCAGGCTCCTCTGCTGTCAAATGTTTGGATCATGTTACAGGCCGCAGGTATTAATAGGGCCTGTCCAGAGCAGATCTTTAAACATTTTCCTCGTAGAAAAGGAAAGGAAGAACATGGCCAGCAGACATCTGTTGGGTTTTATGCTGTGAGCTTGTTATTTTTGGTTTTGAAATGAATATTGCGTGCAAAGGCGGGGCTTGTTAGTCAAAGGCCATTTTCCCCGAATCCTAGTCGGTTGTATTTGTTGTGTGTGTGTCTGTTTGTGTCCCGTGGTACTCCAGGGGTGGTCCTAGGGCACCTGTGGGAGTTGGTTCTCTCCTTCAGTCGTGTGGGTCCTCAGGTTCAAGCGCAGGTTGTCAGGGTTGGTGCCAGGCACCCCTCCTGCCGGGCCGTCTCTCGGCCCTCCATGTTTATTAGTGTTATTTTTTGGGTTTGCGTAGACTGGGGTGCATTTGGATGGGACCACACATGGCCTGTGGTGCTGAAGCCGTGGAAAGAGGGGTGCTTAGCTTTCGGAGCGGGAACATTGTTTACCATGAGCCTTTAGGTTTCACAGGGGCCCTTTGGCCTCCTCACCTGGGAGCTGGCAAACCTGGGCCTCACTGTGGGTGATGCCACTGTTTACACCAGCAGGCCCGTGGGAAATCTGTGTGCCAGGAGGACGTTTGCCTTGGTGACTGGAGCCAGGAGCCTTGCTAGAGCTTTGTTCTCAACTGCACCTTTTTTTTTTTTTTTAATCCTGGGGTAGCTGAGAAACATGATTTCCGAAACTTCCCCAGTGCTGTGGCGATGCTGGTGGGTGAAGCTTCTCATGCTGTAGGAGGTGGCTGGCCATGCAGGGTGAAGTCCACCTTGAGGGCTATTGTCTGAAATGTTTGCCTCTGTCCCTCTCTCTGCAGCCAGCCCAGGTCCTTTATCCCTCCTTCCCAGACCGTTGGCTCTTCCTCTCTGGTGGTGGAGAAGCTGATTACATTTTCAGTCCTCTGGTCCTGCGCCAGATGCTCGGCCTCGCTTCTCTGCCATTGTGCAGCGCCCTTTAAAATAATAACGTCTCCAAACCCCTGTGATTAAAGCGAAATCCCCGAAGAAAACAGTCAGAAGACACTGAAAAGGATTAATAAGAAAATACAAATACACGCCAGCTACCCTCACCCCTGACTAGAGGGAACTAGCCCGAATGTGTCGGCATCTTTGCACCCAGAACATTCCACACACAGTGCAGTCGACAGCTTGGTCTTCCTCTGAAACATTTCATGCGTCTGCCGTGATTTATTTAATCTTGCAATTTGTCAGACAATGTGGTTGTTACTCACCTCTCCCCTCCCCCAGCAAGACATTCCTGTCTTGTTCTTATCTCTGGTTATCTCCCTGGTGGGGTTTCTGAGGTCAAAGGGTGTGAGGCCTATTCTGGTTTTCTTCTGGAATTTTCAGTCCTTCCGACCTTCCTCTTCTGTCTGGAACCACCAGGTTCTGGGTGGCTCTACCCGGATCAGGGTCTTTTTATTTTTTAAGATTTATTTTTAGTATTTTTAATTATGTTTATCTATGTTGGTATGTGCACGGGACTGTAGTGCTCACAGAGTTCAGAGTTCTGGGTGTTGGATGCCCTGGAGCTGGAATTACAGGTGATTGTTAGCAGCCTGATGTGGGTGCTAGGAGCCAGACTCGATCCTTTGCAAGGGAAGAACTGATCTTAATGCTTCCCCATCTCTCCAGTCCCTGGCTCAGGAGCTCCATCAGACTGGAGTGAGCGGAGACCAGGCACTTGTCTCAGACCCCCAGTTGTTCTAGAGGTATGGCAGGAAGCCCCTCCCAAGAGAGACTGGGGAACCCCTCAACCTGTCATTACTTTCTTTTTTGGTATGTTCTGATTAAAGGTGTGAGCCACCACCCCAGGGGTGGGTGGGTGGGGTGGGGTGGGTAGTGGTTTCTTTATGAGTCTCTGTAGCACTCTGATGAGGAATATGCAATGTAGGCCAGGCTGGCTTCAAACTCAAGGTGATCCAAGCTGGTCATGGTGGCGAATGCCTTTAATCCCAGCAAAGACAGGGGGATCTCTGTGAGTTCGAGGACAGCCAGGGCTACACAGAGAAACCCTGTCTTGAAAATCCAAAAAACCAACCAAACAACAAAACCCCCAAACCTCACAGAGATTCACCTATTTCTGCCTCCTTGGGGCTGGTGATTAAAGATGTGGGCTACTGTGCTTTGCTGTGTAACCCAGATGGGCCTTGAGTTGGCAATCCTCCTGCCTCCACTTCCCGAGTACCAATTTCACAGTGTGTGCTGCCATCTTGGTTCTGCTTTTCTTTATCACACTTTTTACAATTTGTAAACAAAGTTTTAAAAATAATTTTTATTTTAATTTTGGTGTGTATGTGTACAGTGTATGCATATATGCATGAATGTGTGCATGCTTGTGGAGGTTTGCGGTTGAGTTTGCCATCTGCCTGGGTCACTCTTCACCATGTATCAAGGTATGGTCTCTTGAACCCAGAACTCATTGATCTGGCTAGTCTAGCTAGCCAGCCTGCCTCCGTGATCCCCAGTTTCTTCCTTCTGTGTGTACTGCATTGAGGGTGGGCCGTCATGCTCACCTGGCTTTTTTGGGGTGCTGGGTGTTTGAACTCTGGTTTTCTTTTTGTTTTTAAAGATTTATTTATTAATTGTGTATACAGAAGAGGGCGCCAGATCTCATTACAGATGGTTGTGAGCCACCATGTGGTTGCTGGGAATTGAACTCAGGACCTCTGGAAGAGCAGTCAGTGCTCTTAACCTCTGAGCCATCTCTACAGCCCAAACTCTGGTTTTCATGTGTGTGCAGGGAGCACTTTACACACAGAATTTTATTGTGCTAAAAATTCATTGTAAGTGTTCAGTTCAGTGGCTTGTCACAGTGACACACACTCACTACCAACCATCTCGGGGTGGCATCATCGTCCTGAACTGAAAGGCCATGCTTTAGA